TTCAAATATATCCTATAATGTCTAGCCAAATTTCATAATTAGCGTTGCATGGACTTCGGCGGCTACTGTAGGTTACGAAGCAGTATTTTGGTTTCAGTAGCTTTACGTACGAACGGATTCATTCGCAGTTAAGCGTATTTCTTATTCTAAAGATATGAAAACAGGTATTTTGATATCAAAGGTCTCAGCTTTTAACAGAGTCAGTTTATTACATTTTGGGAACGTCTTGACCAAATCACTCATAAGCTTATGTATCATACATTTTGAAGGCCAATTTAATAGAACTTGCATTGTCTTAGACTTCAGGTATGGAAGAAACTGATGCCCTCTGGTATTAAAGCTATCGCTTTGAGTAGATAAGCGTTACTTCAATGACTTAACAGTCAACGGTATTTTTATACATGTGCTACCTGGTGTGAGCTATACATTTCTCATATAGACTCTAAACGTTTGTCACCGATAGTTATTTATTTATTTGTTTTGCCATTTTCAGAACTTTGACAACATGCTTGCCTTTATACGTCGTTCAGTTTCAATTTAATTCTTTAGAGGCTCATCTTCACCACTCTGATTTTAAGCTCCGTTCGTGCATTGCGCATCCATTAAGTAGGCGGAAATTTAAATAATCACACCCTTTTTTATCATTCGAAAATGCAATTCCAAGTCCCTTACTTTTGAAAAACCTGGATGTTAGAAGCTGTTTGGCAAAAAAAATATTTCTTTTTCCGAACTAATCAAAATCCTTTTTTGCACTGCTTCTGTTTAATACTGCAGGCGATACCTGTCAAAGGGTTTAATTGTTTAACCCATATGTAGTTCACTGGTTTACCCAAAATTCTGTCTACTTTATGAACAAAATAATCCAATTTCTTTCCAATTCATTTCACGTTTTTTCTGATTTAGAGAACTCAATCAGAACTTGAACAACCCACGATCCAAATCCCCGTACATAGCGCAATTGGCGGTATGTTTACGCTGCCAATTCGGCCAGAGAGCCTGCTTCAAAGCGAGATTTGGTGCAATTCCACTCTCAGCAGAAGCACTGACACCGACCCGAACTCCACCTCCTTGACAACCTTCTCTGTGGGAAGAAAAACCTCTGAAGCCGCCTCGGAGTCTAGTTTTCAAGAACAAACAAAGGTGCTTAACCCACTTCATCTTCTGCAGGGTTCATTTGATGGTGCCAAAAACCATCATTTCGCCACTTTTTGTGAGAGACCGCATAAATGTTCATCTCCCAGCTGTCAGCAGCCAGCGGTGGCCGCGGGAACGCCAAAGGAAACATACGTGGAAGTTCTGCTACCCCTAGCCCATTGCTTTGACCCGACTGCAGTGAGTGCCTTTGAAAGAATGCCTGCTGCCTCCCCGACTTCGACGATAAGAAGCGACAGTGATATTAGACCGCCGAACCAGGAACCTAACATATTGCACAGCCCCATCTCAGTCCTTGATCCAATCACGGGAAAGAGGATTTTTGTGCCACCCTTTTCGAAACCCAATATGCCCTTGCCCAAGTCGGAAATCAAAGTACAACGCCCAGACAGAACTCGAGACATTAGTGAACAATCCTGCAGTGAGAGCAAAGAGGAGGAGGAATCAGAAAACGATCGAGCGTCCTTATAAACCTTCCCCAAAGTCCGTCAACATAGATTAAAATGCAACGACTGCGAACCTTCAGGACCCCTAAGTTACAGCTTTCCCGCGGTAAACAACCAACTGATCAAGGGCTGTTAATGCAATTATATAAAGTATCCCCTACTGTACATTACCCAAATGATCAAGTAAAAGGCGTTAAGAGTATTTCATTTGTATGAAACAAGTATGCAGTTTTTGCGGTAGTGTGTTTATTTGGCCAATACACACAAACAAAACTCCTCAGTGATTATCCTTAATCCCAGTAGAAAAGAATATGCAGAAGCCCAATGGGTCATTTGCCGTATATGTAGTTAACTACCAAATTGCATTAGCAATGTGGCGATAGCTAAT